AAATAAAGTGCAATTGGCACATGTACTTTCCCAAATGTACGTTAATCAGCACTACAGGCTATATAATTTTATAAGTGCACAAAGCCATATCACAATTTCAGATTTAGCATAAATTATGCTTTGCCAAAGAAATCGTGCAAAGCATGATGTTAGAGATCTTTTATGTTATTTTGAGAAGTGTAAATGAAGTCCTATCTGTTAGTTCTGTCATGAAACTCTAGATGGCACAGGCTGGTGAGTTGTTAACGCAAACTAATGATATTCACAGCGTTAAACTACTAGCCAGTGAGCTTGCTGCTTTACATTTAAATGGATGTTTAGCATTCACTACAGCATTCACTTCAGAGTTCCTCCTAAACCCTCCACCTTCCCCAGCTCCACCTGTATAGATCTGCTGCGGGTTATTATATATGCTACTTGTGCAGCAGCAGTATGTCTTAAATACTCACAGCACTGTATTGGCAGTAGCAATAATCTACAACAGCAATAACCAACAGCAGCAGCGTAGCAGATCTATTTCGCCAAGACCAAATACATCAACATTGTCATATCCATTACCATGCTAAAATCTTCAGGGAGTTCTCATGATAGAAATATGTTTTTGGTTTGTTACATGTATGTAACTGTTGCAGTACAAATTCGACTTAAAGGTGGGAGCATGTGTTATATACCTGAACTATCTATGCTGTGTGAGAGAGAAAATTCCAGTGCTTTTTTTATCAGGGGTTTAGCAGGGATTCACGAGATAAGCAGTACCACTCTCTTCTTTCTCGACCTACATAAGCTCCAGTGGCCACCTCACCCAAGCTACTGATTTCCATCTAATCAGGATGAGCTTAAAGGACATCTGAATCAGCATCAGAGCCAATGAAGAGCTTGATTCTTCTATCAAAGGGTTTGTGTGGGAATTAGAATCATGAGTTTTGTGCGTTCTAGTTGCATTCAGAATAGTGTAAGGTCAAGGTTTAAGATCAGTGCAAAATGTCTAATAATGGCTTTAGCTACCAGATATCATTGCACCACAGCACAAAAATATACTTGAGAAAAATATTTTTATATTAAAAATTGATTGCTGTGATTATTCCCATAACAGAGCTGAATTGTTGAGCTTGGTGAGGCCAATATATACCTTGAAATTGCCAGAAAGACCAAATTATTATTGTAATTATTTGAATAATTATAATTAAAAAATTAATTTAAATGCAAATTATATTTGCGGCAACAACCTAGTCCCCACTTAGATGAAAATAAAAGTCTAACAGTTATTTTGGTTATTAAATTATTATTTTTAAAGGAGCAAATGTCACAATGTCAGCATAACAAGGCTGAATAGACAATTTCTGCATTTCTCAGAAAATGCAGAAAATATTGCAGAAAAAAATGACATAAATAGATAAAGTGTGATATTTTAATTTCGATAAAAGAAACAATTTAAGTAGAATTCATTGTTTTAATTCTACATAACCTATTTAAAGGGGTCATGGATTGAGAAATCAACTTTTACTTGAGCTTTTGATATATAAGAGATCATCGTACTAAAGGAATATCCTGTAAGTTTCAGAACTGAAAACGTCCTTGTTACTGAAATAAAAGCTTTTATTGACACCAGGCCCAGCGAACGCCAGATCCTGGAGTGTGCCTATCTTTTGGTTAAAGAGTGTGCCTATCTTTAGGTTAAACACCGCCTCCACAGAAGAAAATTCTGTAGCCCCGCCCACTGATTTGCACATGACATAGTAGGGAAATAACGTAAGTGGCGCTAACCGGATCGAGCAACCAAGCAATGCTAAATATTGTGCAGTGCCTGGTTGTGGAAGAACACAGTCGCTGCATAACCTTCCTTCGGATTCAAATATTAGGAATGCGTGGTTGAACTTTATTTTTAATGAAGTTCCAGCTCACGTGAGTAAAACATTGAGTGTTTGTTCGCTTCATTTCGCCGCGGATTCCTTTGTAAACAAGACACAGAACGACGCTGGATTTGCAGAGACTGAGATTAAAAAGCAATGCTATATTGGATCCGACAGGAATGGCACAGCACACTTATCTGAGTAAAAAATATTTGTACTATGTGTCACTATTGCTTTGTTAGAGATAGCTTTATATGTCCTGATTATGTGTACTTGTCTAACCAAAGTCACAGAAAGCTCCAACTGTGAAGGACGTAGCTTTTCAAACAGACACAGAAAGTGGTGCTTTCACACTTGGTTCGATTGCTTGGTCCGAACCCGAGTTCTATTGCTCCCCCCTCCCCGTTTACTATGCAAAACTGTCATCCAATCATAGCAATGGATGTTTACTTCCAAGTCTTCAATGCGGTACACCCATAAAAACCGAGCATTTCTCGAGCTGGCCTCAAAACCAGGGTAGAAAATAACCTATTACTTATTGATTTCGATGTTTTTGAATGTAAAAACCACTCAAACGTCATAAGTGGACCTCAGACAACAGTATAAAATAATTTTAAAAAGCCAGTTCACGACCCCTTTAAGTAATGGTGCTGAATGGTGAAAAATGGATGATATTTAATAAATGGAAATAGCATTTAAAAATAAAACTCAGAAAAAGACCACATTAATTCTAAAATATAGAAATGAACACAAACACAATCAATTATTTTCAGTTATTAGATAGTTGTACTGAAGTTCATCCTGCCCATTTGTATGGGCAAGACAGCACTGGTTGCAATGTTTATGCTCATCGGAGAATGAAATGGAATTTATTATTGCTGTGCATCACAGCTTGAAAGCAAAAACCCTCATATGACATTCAGAGCCACAGTTTTCCCTTACGGTTCCTTTTTCCCTATTCTTCTCTGCCTCTCGCACTGAATCACACTATGAATGTTAATGCCGGTGTCATCACATTGCGACAGGAAATCTCTTTTTTTTTGAATGATGCAACTGTTTGGTCGCATCCTGTATCTCTCTCTCTCTGCACTCAGATTAAAATGAAAACTAGTTTATTTTCAAAAAAAGAAAAGAAAATCTTGGCCGGCAGGGAAATGATCCTGAAGAAAATCACAGATGTTCTTCCCTAGTGAAGCCAACACCACACACACAAGCAACGATACACAAATGATCTTGAGTTTCCTTTCCGTGGTTCCATTTATCAGCTAGTGTTAGTGTGTGTGTGTGTGTGTGTGTGTGTGATGTAAGAAGAAGGAATCCAGCTGGACTGAGACTCACAGTCCACAGCTGGACATTATATCCTAGAGCTACATTTAACACATGTGGTGGCTTCTGCCGTTGTTGTGACACCACCCCATCACTCTTTCTACCCGCTTCATTTTCTTTTCCACCATCTTTATTCCAAAGGGAAATAAAGAGAGGAGGAGTAATTTTCTCCACAACAGATGCATATACTTAAACACATTTACGCTTAAATTAGAAGAATGTGGTCAGTTTAAAGACTCAGTAAAATGGCTTGACGAGCGCAGATTGAAAAGTTAACAATTAATCACACACACAAAAAAAATTACTCAAAGTAGAACGTAAATAATTTTAAGGACAGCTGGTGCACTTTGTTGTGCAAAACAAGTAATCAATGCTAATTACTTTTTTTTTTAAATAATTTCAGATAACATATGAACAGTTAGCCTATAGTAAACTGATTAATTATCAGCTAATGTTATTTTGTAAATTGTGAAAAGTATAAAATTATATTTGCAGCAATAAACTACTGTAGTCCCCAACTAGATGTAAAAAAGGACAAAAAGTCCAAGAAGAAATTTTCAGCATTTTTATTTTTAAAATGTTTCTATTTACACAAAATCTTCTCCTGTTTTTATTTCAGGTGAGGAAAGGTCAAGTTGGCAGAGACATTCAATATATCCTACACAAGGATAGAAAGAGTACAAATTGTGTATTTATTTACAGTATATTTGATTTCAAGTTAAAACATTTAGAAAGTTTTCTCAGTGTCCATCTGTCATCATCTTTTTTGATTCAAAAGAGATTTCAAATGGAAACAAAAAAGAAATATACACGCATTCTCTTATAATAATATAATAATTTAGCAGACAATATTGACAACAATAACCGACAAGGTGGTGTATATATTGCTAGGCATTAAAACAGGGTGTTGTGATGACGCAAGAGTGATGAAGACCAATATCGTGAATGGGAAGGCCAATCAGTGAGCCGCTCCCATGAAAACAACATCTTTAAATCTAAAACCACCAACCACGTGACTTTTTAAACTTCTGTCACTGGTTTAAGAATTGCTATAAAACTGTCTGTAATTGGTATCATTTACATTCTTCTGCTAAATTTGGGGAAATTTCCATTTTCAAACCAACAGTGGGGTTTGATGTAAGACTTCAGCATTTGATAAATTGACTATGGGAGCGCTCAAACCAAAAACTCCTGAACTAAGGTCATTCCCCCTGTTTTTTCAGAGATCATGTGACCAAAATCAGAAGCACCAATACCAAGACTAAATGGTTAAGGGGCACTTGAAGGGACGGTACACCGTTTGTCTGATATGTTTACAAGTGGGCAAAGCTACATCATCAGACTCAACTCAGGAAACATGGCTTATAAAGAAAGGTTGGACTGATTACATTAGCGGATTTCACTCATAAATGTCCTCAAACTGTATTTTGGCTTCTGTTATAAATTACAATATACACTATAGATTGAATTTGCACTTCATTTAACTTTATCAATACAGGCTTGGTGCCATTTTTGTCTTTTTCAAAAAACGGGCTCAGTATCTATCAGCAGACTTCTGTTCTGAGAACATCTATTGTTTCATTGCCATCAGTAGATGGTTCCTCATAAACCTACTCCTAACAGATATCTTGTTGCTTTAATTTTTTTTTTTTAAGGCACTCTAGTGACCTTCAAAATGAAACATGAATGGGTTAAAAGTAATGTAAGATACAGTTTTGAGTTAAGAGGTAGCTGTGGGACATATGGCAAGGCTGTGACAGATAAAGAGGAGACATTGTCTGGGATATAATAGGCTGGGTTTATAATATCGGACTCTTTTTTTAATTTTTTGGCCAGACATTGAACAATTGAGAAATGTGATATTCTGATACTTTACTAATGACCGATTTATAAAAGAGCTGAATCAACAAATTCTTATGGCTCGAGAAATGCATACAAAAATGTTTCCTCTAATGTACTGTCGTTAAATCTAAGAAAAGCACCAGCAAAAAGGACTTAACTTCAGTTTCTGCAGCACCACTCCAACTGGAGATTGGAGGAAACACATTACAAACATACTTGACTCTGATGCAGGAGCAGATACAGGGAGGCACACACTCGTATTACGGTAACTGCATAGCTACATGAACGGTCAGATTATGGATTATAATTTGGGATTATCTGATAAAATCTCACTGTGGCCAATTATTAGCATTCAGTGTTTCAGGCTTAAACATAATTCTGTTTATATATGTGATATCTGCATAATTAGTATTTTGTGAGGCTTTCAAATGTGTTCTGGAAAATAGGATTATGGGGTTTAATCAGGGTAGACGACATTCAATTTGGCATGAATGAGGCTTTGAGATTGACGTTCTGTCCCAAGTGCTGCAATAGGGCATATAGGGTGTCCCATTTGCCATTTTAGGTTTCAAAAGGGTGCTTACAAGCACCCCCTTTAGGCCTATAAGCAGCTTTTATGTGCACTTTTGCTGAGCCTGCACTGATGCAGACTCCACAGTTACTACCTGACAGTCTATGCAGCATTAGTTGACCAATGTTTTGACTTAAAGGAAGTCCACAAGCGCTTAGAACAATATTTAGAACAAGGTCTCAGTTCAGTAGGTTTTCTAGAGTCACGTCTAACTTTCCCAACTCATCTTGTGCAGAGTTTTTCCCAACACACAATAGTAACACCTACTAACTTGACTATACTTCTATCCCATACAGTCTCTTTTTTTATTCCCATCAAATGAAAATTGGTGCCTACCCTGACTAAGGTCCATTGGGTTTATTTCAGCCTAATGATGGAGGATGAAGAGGTAGACAGAGAAAATAAAGAGGAGGATTGCAGAAGATGCACCCAGCAACATGTCTTCTGTAGAACTACAGGGTAGAATAAAAATGACAATTACACTTTAAAATTCATGAGGACATCCTAGCCAGGGAATGGAGATTTACATGTTAGTGCTATAATGTTCAAACACTTTAAACACAGTACAAAGTACCAAAGCAAACAAAACAACTGCTATCCTCCTACTCTACAGCTACAAACGTGCTCTTCGTAGACATCTTCAGACAGCATAATAAGAATATTTAGTTTTAAAAAGGACAGATTCATAATGCAATATGATCAATCATATCATCCAGTCCTTTTTTTTTTTTTTAGAGAAATCCAAGGGTAGATTCAGAGTTTCATATTTTGGCTGGTTTGAAAATGGAAGATGATCCCAAGTAGTTGCAGAGTCTATACAGTAGTTGAAACAAGCTTGTTTGTTTGATGATTGTCTAAAGAGAGCATACTGATACCACGTTGGATTTAGCTGACAACATTTTTTCTTAACCAATGAAGGCAAAAGTGGCCCATTGTAGACTCAAAAAAGGTGAGTTGTACATGAACTTGTAGAATCCATAAAGGGCTGGTTATGGGACAATTTTACAGCTACTCCAAGCAATGCTGTTTGTGGTAAAATGTAAGGGCCACTGGGCAACTGTCACAGACATCATAATCTTACTGAAGGCCATGTTGAGGTTCTTGGTTTGTGTAGTTCCGTTGCAAGCTGTATGTTCCCTTTATATCTACATGACTTCATTAAGACCTGGTGTCAAGTTCTTCCATGGGGATTGAAATGGCTGGCTAAGCTGTCCTGTTGGCTGGATGAAAAACAGAGGAATGGCAGAGTATAAGGAGGTCTGACTGGATGACTGTGGAATGGTAGAATGATGGACTTTAAAGGCAGGTGTGGCTGGTTTACTCTGGAATGATGGACTTACAATGTGAAATCTGGCTGGTTGACAGTGGAATGGTGGACCTAAAGGGGAGGTCAACTCTTTCCCCTTCCTTGGCATTAAAGTGTGCTGGTTACACTGAGGTCTGGTTCGGAAACTCTCCAGATGCAGGAACTCTTCAAAGTCCCATTGTTGTAACCCTGAAGACTTTTATTGAAGGTATGAAGTATGTATGTGTTTGTTTAAGGGTGTGTCTGTGTGTATTGGCGTGTGGCAGTGTGTGTGGAGTGAGTGTTTACAGTTGTTTTCTTTGTATACTTTCTGGGTGTCAGAAGAGGCCACCCTCATCCTCATTCATTACTGGTATCGAATCGTTCTTCATTTCCCATGGGTGACTCTTGCACTCGATGTTTGCACTGGCCATGGGTATGTCGTGTGGTGGAGCGGGAGTGGCGGGCAAAACAGGAAGTGACAGTTTGTGAGCTGCAGTCACAAAGAGAATCCTGCAAAGAAAAAAGAATAAAAAGATTTTAAGATATTTACTTTATTCAGGGTGTATGCATTGGAGGATGAGGGGAGTTTGTCAGATGTACAATCAGATGAACACAATCAGATGTTCATGATTAAATGCAATCAACCAGATCAACAGTGGTGACACTAGAACTTGTTTTAGACTGTCTCACCTCCAGGGTACTAGAGCATGAGCTCATTGCATCCTTTCCGGTGGCTACAAACTCGTCTCTTTGTGTTTTCATAAACCTCTTATTGACGATCTTCGTGATGTTGTCTGTGTCGATTAAGGCTCCTGGTAGGTATTCTGGCTTTGGTTCGTCAATGGTCCCTGCTGGTGCAGTCCTGCCGCAAACATTGTGCAGAAACTCCTGGACCATGCCGTACTTCTGAGCTCCCGCTTCCCCCAGACTGATTCCTATGCTAGGACAGGAGGGTTTCCCAGCAGCTTGTCTCCCCAGGCATGTATCTGCTTTCCATAATGATTCAACACTTCCAGAGTGTTCCACCACACTGAAGAGACTGGTCAAGCCATCATTGAGGCCACTAAGCACTGGGCTGTCTCGGGTGGTGGTGGAACGTGCCCAGGCAGACCCATTCTGAGATCCACTACGGTTATGAAGATTCCATACACTGCGATCCCTTGAGGATGTTGATGAGGTCTCGAGTTTGGAGGAAGAGGTGGAGACCCTGCGGGTAAGCTTAGGTGAACCATATTTCGGTGAGCAACATGGTCTATCAATGCGACTGTGGACTTTCTCTAGAGATGAAGAGATCTGTCGTGTGCGTGCAGATGAAAGTGAGGTGGATAGACGAGGAGACCATGCTTTCCCTTGAAGGCCTCTAGTTGTTGAAATGGGGCCATCAGTTTGTAGGCCAATGCTGACAAACTGTGCTGTTTGCGTTCCTGTACTTGAAACACCAACTGTCTGGCTCCCAGCATCTTTGCTGCACTTCCTCTCCAGGGAACTGGAACGAATGGCCTGTCGCACACAGTTGGTCATCTCCTTCATGTCATCACTAAGGTTGCCTGAAATTTCCAGTCCGTGGAATGGTGCAGAACCTCCCGTCCGTCCTTCAAGTAGGTCTCTATGCTGCTGTGAAAGTGAACTCAACCACTGCTCATAAGAGGATGAGGAAGTGGTCGACAAAGGTGCAGATGCAGCAATCTGACCTGATGGATCTATCATGGCTCCGTCCCAAGATGATGGTCCTCGCTGAGGATCCTGCTGGGCCTTTTCTTTGACTGGCCTCCTCTCCATTCTCCTCACAGTTGGAGGGCTGTAATAGATGCGAATACCCGTCTTATCTGGAGCGGTGTAGCTTCTCTGGATGTACTCCTTGCTCAACTCCAGTCCTGGGAAGCTGCTGTTAGAGTTGGTGCTTGGGCAGTCCCATGTCTTAAACTGGTCACCCTTCTCCAGCATTGCAGAATCATTGGTCAAGTACTTCCAATTCTTTTTATTGAGATCACTTAAGTCAGTGCGAGCCAGAATGGAGGCAGGAGCAGTAGATTGATGCTGTGCAACATTGCACTCTGGTACCCCACTGACCTTGTGACCAGGAAGGAACAGACTGGTGTCCAGCATACTCTTAAATTCAGAGAGGGAAGAAATTGATTTGGTCCTGTAACAAGAGAGCGGGAATTATCATAAAACAATCACATCTGACAAAACAAGGCACAATTGAGACTTTAATCAAGTCAGTTTACCTTTGCAGTCCTGAAACACTGGTGGCTGCATCTGCTGAGATTTCTTTTTCAGAAGTTTTATCATGAAGAGACTGAAAAAGAAATAATCTATTTTAAAGAAGTTTTAAAAAGTGGCATGCCGTAGTCATCCCTCTGCACAGTACTCCCATTCATTCATGTGGTATTACTGAGTCCGTATTCTCTTAAGGAAATTAGGTCATTCAAAACAGCTAGTTTCCTCTGTGGGGTAATGATGGTGGTATGGTTCACCACGTCTATGTAAATCACCTAAATTCTCTCAGTGAGGCATGGTATCCAGGATGTCATTTAAAACAAAGAAATTAGAGCACCGAGCTTGATTATCACAAAAAGAAATACGCAGAGAATGAGAGAAAGAAGGGGGAAAACTATATAGTCTCATCTCTTTTTTCCAGCTTCATTATTTACAGTGTGGTTAGTACAGACACACTGACCATACTGTCTCAGGCTTCTTTTCAATTGGACTACACATACTGTGCACAGCCACATGGATATGCAAAACCAGCAGTTCCAGATAAGTGATGCAACATGCAGAGAGCCTGTCTGCAGGCGCTCTGTGGAAATGTTTAGAGATACTGTCATATCCACCCATTATGCGAGGGCAGCCCTAAGTCAGTGAAGGAAGTGTGTCATGATGACATCCTCCCAGACCCAAATAAAACAGCAGATTAAAAAGACTCAGAAAAACATGAAAGCAAGGTAACAAGATTTGGTAATATAAAACAAAGCTTCCAAGGCCTTTTAATGCACTTGAAACTTTAACATAAAAGTTACTGTTCATGTTCTTCTAAAACCATATGACTTTCTTCTCTGGAGAACAAAAAAGGAATTCTGAAAAACCTGCTACTTTGAGAAAAATATGTTCCAGGACTTTTCAAAAATGTACAGAATTGTGTTTTTGTGTCCCCTGAAACTTGAAAGCGACAAGCACAGTCAGAATTTTTCTTTTTGTGTTCCACAGAACACAGTAGGTCATACAGGTTTGGAATGACATGAAGGTAAATAAACAATAACATTTACATTTTTGAGTGAACAAATCCTTTAACCCCCATATGACATCTGACCTGTGTGCCTTTGCTCTGGACATCTCGTAAATGCTGTTCCCATTGACTTCTTTCCTGGTTGAAGTGCTCTAGAAGCTCTAGCCTCTCTCGAGTCCAGTTCTTCTCACTGATCTGCAACTGTTTGGTGAGGTCCATCACAGCAGCATAAGAGTCCGCCAACAGGTGTTGATGCTCCTCCCGCTCCTTTTTTAGCGCCCCCTTGAGGTCTGGAGAATCCTTTTCACCCCCAGCCACAGATGCCTTCCCCATCTTACCCTCCAGCTGATGACAAAAATAAAGTACAAAATGAGAGGGTGAGATAAAAAAAGAGAACACGATGTTTTCAAAAGTGGAAGAGTAACCATAGAAACAGCCCCATGATACACCGTAAGCCTTTACAGTCAGATTCTGACAGCTGCGCCATCCAGACATTGTATAGATATTTATATATATAGATATTTATTTGCCCTACACCATTAAATAAGCAGATAAAAGTGCAATTAAAGACTTAGTTCAAAATGGAAATTTACTTATCCTCAGGCAATCCAACAACAAATTCTAAGAAATTTAGCATTACAGCACTTGTTCACCAATGGATCCTCTGCAGTTAATGGGTACCATCAAAATGAGAGTCCAAACAGCTGATACAGTCCTGAGGGATTTCTGGGTGAGCTATTCCTTTAAATATGCTTAAATGAATAAAAGCAATAATTACATTTATTATTAAGAATAAATCAAATAGAAGATTATTCTTCCATGTAGTATATTTAATAGACTGCATGTTGTTTGCAGTTAACAACTTGAATTGTATAGGCAATATACATGGTATTGGCAGTTTTACAACTGCTTCAATCACGGCTCAGCCAATTAGATTGTTGTGATATTTGGTTATATTTTGCATTATGTTTCCAGCAATAGTAATTATGAGGACAGCCTACTCTTTATCCCCCATACTCATTTAAATTCCTTCTGCTCTTTCAGTTGGAGCCACAAATCTTCAGAACTCATATATTTTGTGAGCGTACGCGAGTCAGGTTATTAAAACTCACAGCCTGCTGGGAACTCATCAGACAATCAGTGACTAGCTTCTCACAGTGATAATGCCTAATGAGTTTTGCTTTGGATGGCAATAAGAGGTTAATGGGTTGATGAGGTTTAGTAAAGAGGGTGAAATAGATTTGTTCCAGATACCTCCTCATAAACCGTAATAATTATAGGAAAGAAGAATGATCCAGAAATGTTTTTTTCTATTAGACTGCTGACGTGGCTTTGTGGATTGTGATTTATTTTAATCACTTTTGACTTACATCATTAATTATTAATAGGTGACAATGTGCAGCATCAACAGAGGACTTTATAGCATTATGCTAACAACATTACTGGTGTCAATAACCTGTCTTGTTAATGCAGTGATAAATCATTTTCTGTGACAGGTTGTTATTAGTGCCACGGAGGTCACAGCTAATACTAGAGCGTAAAATCCCACCTCTCCCATTCCTTGTATTATCGCATGACTTATTCTCTGAACCACAGTCTTAGAAAAACAAAGGAAGTGCAGATAAAGAGGAGAAGTGGCAGGGAGGAAGGGAGCCCTGTAATATCGACCTATCAGAGCAGTAATGGTGAAAGCGGCAGTCTAGTGTCATTAGGTTCTCTGGAGAGCATAGGGCTATTGCTTTTGGTGCAATCTATGGTATGTGTGCTTATTTTTTCTGCTGTAACATTTTCAACAATAAAGGGAGGAGAGTGAGTATTTTAACTAATCTAAACATAACTGATTGCATGCCCTGGCTCTCTACGCACTGATTAAGGCATCTACAAAGTAAACACACTTGACTTAAAGCTGCAGTGCAATTTCTGCTCCATTAGCAACACCAAACAGATTAGCAAAAATAATGACTATCCAAATAGGTTTCTTGAACACTCCTCATGTTTTCTACTGCATCTTGTTTTCTAATTTATTTATTTTTTTAGCAAATGTAGTCTAAAATGCATGCACCACTGTATTATGAGTACAGTGGCATTTTTACTTGTCTTATATTGCCATATTACCTGCTTTTTAGATATTTTTATTGTATCAGCCATTGAAAAACCCATATTGGTTGACCACTATTTGAAAGTGTCAAGTGCCCCAGTGTTTACACTCTATTGGGAAATCATACTGTGATTGGCTTACTTTTTATTGTCTCTGCACATTAAACTGGTATATGTATTTTAACACTTCTGTAACACTTTCACTTGTAGCCTTCTGTGTTTATCAGACACATCCACAAACTGTGCCTAAGTCCTCTTCCTCCCCCAGCTCATTAATTAAGCCATTAAGAAGACTGCAGTCATGAATGTGTCTCAGAGTAAAGATATTAAACTCATCTTTCACCATCATGCCCAGAAACAAGCCTGTGAGCACACACACTCCCACTCGCCCCCCCAGTGAAATGCCACATTGCTGCTGATACACTGCAGATGGCTCACACAGCTCTCTTCCCAGACTACTGGTGCATGTCCGAACCAACACCAGATCAAATAACAAAATTACAGGCCACATCCAGCATCTTTTCAGCCTGTGTGACAGCAAACTGATCACAACTGATCTTCTGCCAGAGGTTTCCAGAATGAGTCTCCCAAGAGGAATTACTGTAATCTGTGTATGTTAAATCAATGACAATGGCCCTGAGTGCAGGAGTTAAATTACCCAGTGAGATCAATGTTAAAGTAATTACTTTACACCTACAGTGCAAAGTACCTATAAAATGATTCACCTCAATGGACTCTTTCAGATTTTATTGTGTTACAAGCCACAATGTATTTAACAGAGAATTTTCCCACTCGACAAAGTACTCCGTAATGTATCTACAAAGCACTCTATGAATCAAACATTTGATTAAGTTCTTAAAACAAATAAGTAACAGAAAACGACTGCATGACTAATTATTCCTTCCACTGCTGTAAATCTTTAATAGGCGCATCTCTAAAAGACATTACTAACACTTTAGTTGTATAAATTACAAATACACTTTTTATTTTTTGGCTATATCAGTTTTGGTCTCTTTCTTAATACCATAAAATCTCCCTCCAAACTGATTAGGGTTTCAAATAGTTCCAGCAAAGCAGGGATATTTTCACTGTATTTTCAGGTAAAATGAAGACACCAGGATCTTTAGAAAGCAATCTTGGCACTAGAATTATGGAAATGACAAGTTATAAATTCAGCCACGTGAAGCTGAGGTCCAACATTTACTCCCTGCCCTAATAGTTTAAGTTGCTTGACTAATGTTGCTTCTCATCTGTTTGGACAGTCCTGTGACTCACCTGAGTGATAATGCTCTTGAGTTCCAACCGTTCGACTTCCCATGATGCTTTAGCACGGGCAAACTGCTGCGTTAACTCCTGTGAACTCTGACGCTCCTCGCGCAGCTCAGCGCTCAGGTCCTGTAGCGCCACCTTCAGGTCTGAGACAGTACTTCCGAAACCGCTAGGCTGCCGAGGGCAACAGGAAATGGAAGTTAGTTACATTTGTGTAGCCATGAAGACTTGACTATAAGGAAATCCAAATGTAAAGCATGTTAGTGTCCTGCAGAAGTTAGGTGTTCTGCCAGTCTCTGTTTTAACCCACCTGTAGGCAGCTTTTCTCTGCCAGGCTGTGCTCTTTGGGTGTGGCGTTGAGTGGCTGCTCCTCAGCAGCTGACATCTTGTTGTCTCCATAGTGGGAAGACAGGCCATCTTCCTCAAGCAGGATACGGAGATCTTTGACACTGTTAACCTGGAAAAACATATCAGACTTAAATTATATTTACAAAGGTAGTAGTACACTAAGGCTGCATTTATTTGATTTAAAATACAGTAAAACTGTAATATTATTACAATTTCAAATAACTGTTTCCTGTTTGAATTTATGCAAAGCTGAATTTTCAGCATCATTGCTTGAGTCTTCAGTGTCACATGATCCTTCAGAAATCATTCATCATATGATGATTTAGCGCACAAGAGACATTTCATATTTTATCAATGTTGAAAACAGTTGTAATATTAAGTATTTCTGTGGAAACCGTAATGCATTTTTTTAGGATTCTTTGAATAATAGAAAGTTTAAATGAATAGCATTTCATTGAACGTTGAAATGGAAATCTCTTTAACATTATAATGTCTTTACTGTTATACATTTTATTCACTAACCACCCACAATCCAGTTTAATCAGGCTCCAAATGGAAATGAATTGTGCCATGCTGATTGCACTCAGACCTTGTGAGCATGTTTTGCACCGCTTCCTAATTTGCATAATTCCTTCAGTGAATCAGGTGATAAAACAATGCAAACAGTCTGTGCAAATAAACCTGCTTTCAGCATGTACAATTCATTCCAACTGAATTCACCCTCAGCTGTTAAATAAAAAAGGCCCCATACCTCTAGGATATCCTTGCTCTCTGTGTCTAGTTTCTTGCCGAGTCTCCACTGTTTGAGGAGCCAGCGCAGCTTGAGGCTGATGAGGAGCAGGCTCTCTTTGAGCTGTTGTGACTCCTGCACAAGCAGGTTTCTCTCCTGACTCCACAGCTTCTGCTGCAGACGCGTCTGTAGATTCAGACTCTGCAGCTGGAAGTCTCGGCGGAGGAGAGCCTTCTGATGCTCTTCCTGAAGCTAGAGAGAGAGAGAACGAGAGAGAGACTTTAGGAGAAAGATACCTGGATCAGATTTTAGGGTTAGGGTTTTGCTTTATTCGGATGTTCAGTGTTTGATCTAAATTAGTACAGCATCTATTAACGTGTTTGCACCTGAGAGAGTTTATGCGTGTCGTTGTGGCGCGCCTGTCTCTCCTGTGACAGCGCTTCCTGTGCTCCCTGAGCCTTCTCTCTCGCCTCAGACAACAGAGCGAGCAGCTCACCAACCTGCTCTGTCAGCTAGAGAACAACATGAAAACAGAAGGAGTTAAAGGAGAGAGAAGTAATTGGTAAATGCTGTAGCTGCACAGTATTTGTAATACAAATAAACTGGAACAAATAGCGAAACTTGCTGCCTTGTAAATGTCAAAATGTTTCTGTGCTACAATGCCAAAATAATGACCACGTCAAATTAGATTAGAATCTGTCCGATCATGACATCAAGTTTGCAGAGAACACAATACATTATTTGTCTGTCTGTAAGACAATGCATTAGAACACAACCTAGTCCTAGTTTTTTTGCATCCTTAGTCCGTTTCCACTCTAGCAACATCAGTCCAACATTGAATGAGACCTCCCTAAATTTCAAAACATGAGATCAGAGCTTGATCACAAGATCACAGTTTCTTTATGGAAATCACATTTGCTAGTTAGTGGATATGGTGGGTGATAAATTGTTTGGGTGGAAACTGTTGATGGCTGGAGGTTTCACTGGAATGCTGCAGGGGCGTTTGGCACAGCGTGTGGGACACCAAATCACATAATGTGTTCTTTCATGATTTAAAGCTCGGCATAATGGACTATTTTTAATCATGAAGTCAATACTTTAAACTGTCTTTCATTTAAAAACTGCTTTTTATGAAGTCTTGTACAAACATAACAGATCCAAACTGCACCAAATTTACCAGAAAAAAAAATAAAGAAATAGGCCTCAGCCTCACAAGGCAGTCTGTACAAACACATCAGTTTCTGTACTGAGGTAAATATAGCGTAACGTAAGAACGTAGTGGGATTAGGGCAAAACTAAACCACACTGGCAGTGAGAACTATATTGCTCATATCTCTGCATGGGTGAACAGGTCTTGTTTTATTTATGAACACCATGGGTATTTTAATATTTTAACCACATAAATATTCTTCAGAGTCTATGAATGTCCTATTTAATAGACTTTGCAGTCATTACTTAAACCCTAATTTCCCAATTCCCTATGAACCTCGGATTGACCGTAGCCTTCATTATAGCTTCTGAGTTTTTGAAATTTACCAATCATCAACTGAGAGAACCACTAATTCTATCGATGAGATTTTTGAACTTCTTGTTGTGCATTCTAAGTATGCCTTATGCATGAAGGATGCACAACATGCTGCCTCAGATTTTGTCAAAAAACTGTTTAAGGCGGGCGTACACGGTGCGATTCTGAAGGTCGGAACGTCCTGAGCTCTGGCACATGTCACGATTGAGTTTATCCGAAAGTCGTACGGAGGCAGTCACACACGACACGAATTTACTACGGTTTACGCATTACGTTTCGCGCCATTCATAAAAATATGGATTCTGAGGACGAAATAGTTTTCTTTGTGGCAGCTATGGCTTGTGACATCCAAAAAAAAAACAAAAAACGTAGAAACAGGACATGGCAAAGAGAATGGCTGAAAAGCAGAGAAAAGCATGGACTTTCTGTTCTTCATAAAGAACTCGAGGGAGTAGGCCATTTCTGAATTTCTGCTCGTTTTGCCGGAAATACAACAGGCATATTCATTCATAAAGCTGAACGGCAAATTTGGCACATTCGGAATAACAAATAAAACATAGAACTGTATAATTAAACTAAAATGATTATAGAATATGGTTTTTGTCATCTTCTGATTGGTCAACTTCAGATGGATCGCCAAATCGTCTCGTTCAACCGCACATACGCCACGAATTTAAACAGACAGCATCCGATTTTTTTTGACATGTTTGAAAATTATCGGGAGGACGGGAGGTGCTCGTAACGTCTCGGATCGGCCCGTAATTCTTCTCACACGGTACGAGCCGCGACCATGCGAGCATCTGCGATTTTCTCCCGAGAGAAAAAAAATCGCCTGCGAGCTCGTACGACAGCAAAAATCGCACCGTGTACGCCCGCCTTTAGGCAAGCAGTTCACTGGGTTTTAGAACAGAGCCATTATGTGTTCAATTGTAAGACACTAGCAGAAGTGAAATGTTTTTGTGTGTACATGTTTTAGTGCCTTACCAGATCCGAGTTTGTTTCCTTTAAGTCATATTCATCCTCTTTGTTGCTGTCTTTGTGGCTGTTGCTCTCGTCCCCTGCCTTGCATGAGTGAACTTTGACCTCACAGTCTGGCTGGTCTCTAGAGTCAGGCTGTTGCATGCATGCATGGGCAAGTTAATGAAGGAAAACAAAAAAACAACAATAAAAGACGAGCATGATAGAAGACAGACAAGATCAAGAGGATTATGATGAAGGAATTAAAAAGGTGATGTGTAATGTGGGTAAAAAAAAAGACATTTATTTACATATTTAAACAAAATGACAAATGAAACACGGAAAAAAGGCATAATGATACCCATAAAACAACACCAGAAAATAAAACATCATAAGACAATGAAAAGTATGCATAGGAAAAACAGTTTGGTCATTGTGGTATAAGACAAAATGGCAAAAAGAAACAAAACAACAAGGAGTGAAAGCATCATCTTTGGTTTGAAGAGGAGGAAACAAGAAATGGGGTAGAGGGAAACGAAGGAATCATAAAGAGAGGGAGAAGAAGAAGAAAAACCAAGGAAGAAATGTAGCAGCGACCACAGGTCATGGTGCCCATGCAGTGAGGAAAAAGAAGGAGAGAAGGAGGAAGGGAAGAGTCTGGATTGGATCTCAAGAGTTGGGCCTCTAATGGAGCCTAAATGAATGCCTGTTCAAACCTCAAATGTGTCAGAAAAATGAAAAACCACAACAGTGTTGTATTGGACCCTACTGACTTTCATTAGATGAACAAAAACAGTTGAAACAGTATTCACAATATCTTCTTTTATGTTTCACAGATGAAAGAAACTCAGGGTTTTGCATGACATGAGGGTGAGCAAATAATGACTGAATTTTCATTTTTAGGTGACCTGTTCTCAGCTATTATCTTATTTTGAAATATCTATGAATATCAAATAATGATTTTACACTTATTTGCTAACATGCATGGATTGGCCTGCTTATTATGGTTGCTTTAATAATCAGGTCCAATATGTATTGGAAACAGTAACAACAAACCTATACTATCGGGTCTCATCTGAGTTATCTACTCCATTAGAGGCCTAAACGCTATCCACTATGAGGCCTTATAACACGCTACAAGCATGCATTGTTTTAGTGGTCAGCAAACCTTTCTAAGGGAAAGGGCAGTGTAAATACAACTCAATGATCTAGCAAAGCAACAAAAAGAAAAATTGCTGGTAAAAACAGACAAAACTCCAAGCAAAAAACAAAGAATAAAGATGCGAGGGAATATTTGACTAAGAGATTGTGTGCATACCTTCTGTTGGTTCATGTTCTGGTTGAACTGAGCATCTGCAGGGCATGACCAATTTGCTGCAGGGTCTTCTACCTCAGACAGCAGGGGCATCAGGGACATCCCTTCCACAAGCTCCCTCTCTGGGGGCTGCCCCAGGGCATCGACCCTCTCACTGAGCGCTTGTAGCTGAGCCTGGAGGGACTGCAGTCTGCCATGCAGAACCTCCACCAGGGGCAGCGTGGAGCTTTGGGTCTGGCTCTTCTCCAGTAGAACCGGTTCCGCAGACTCATTTGTCATAATCTTATGATAGACGGTGTCTGGTGAGATACAGGAGGGGTTGGGTGACGTCAGAAGCTGAATAGCTGAGGTAACAAGTTGTGCCTGGTCGCGGATGGCGAGAAGGTCTTTTATGCTGAGGCACTGAGCAGTATGAGTGTGACTTGTTCCTGAAACGTTCAGATTCCTCTCCTCCAGAATATCATTCTGCTCGTCACCAACCGGGCCTTCGCGGTGCGCCTGGATGGGGAGGCACTCAGCTGAGTCCCCTGCTTCAGCATCAGTCTCCAGCGCTGGACGTGCGGAGCCCTGGTTGGAAGCCAAGTCGCATCGTTGAAGGTTGGACAGTAACACACGGTTCTCGTACTGGAGCTTTTTTACTTTGCCATTCAGCTCTGTGATCTGAAGCCTGGCAGCAAGTAGTTCTTTATGGCTGGCTTCGTTTAGACCAGATCCTCCATCTTCAGAAGCACCAGGAATGATCGTGGGTGAAGTGATGGTTGTGGATGACGACAGCTCTATCTCAGTGACAGTGGGAAGCTCGGACTTGTAGTGGTTGAGCTCGTTCATCAAGAGCTTGTTCTGCTCTTCCATTTCTATCAGGGAGCGCCGCAGCAGATCTGCCTCTTCTTCCACGAACTGTAGGTGGCGCTGTAGCTCCATCACATTCTCAGATGTGGAAAGCAGCAGGTGACTTCCAACTCCACCCATGACACCGACTCCACCCGGGGAATCATGGATCTTCATGTCGTCCATTTCGGCACGAAGGCCGCGGTTCTCCACCTCCAACTCTACGATCCGTCGGCTAAGAAGGTTCGCCTCCTCTTCCACCAGTTTCAGGTGAACTTTGACCTCAGCCTCTCGGGTGTGAGGAGAATCGGCGACCTCTTCGACAGTAAGTGAGGCATCAACCTCTCCGTACAGAGAACAATACTTTGCCAGTTCCTCCCTCATGGCCTCGTTGTCTTTGACCATCTTTGTGAGTTTCTTGCACATGAGAACCGACTCCTCCTTGGCGAAGTGAAGCTGGCACTTTAGGTCTGAACTGTCCTCTGGAGGCTGGAGAGGAACATTTGCAGAGAACAAACAACTATTAGCCACTACAACATTAAACAATACGCTGTCCCTTTATACTCCTTTTCCACCACCACAGTGCTGGTGCCGGAGCCAGTGGCCAAAGTGGCCTTGCTCCACAAAGTTCTTGATGGAAAATATGGCTCCGCACCAGCTTGTTAAACCTGCTGATCTTGAACCAGGTTTCAAAGTTTTCAAAACAACACTCTTGTTTGACTGGCTCACCAAAAATTGCCCAATGCGACACACGTTTGTCATGCTACACAACTACTCCAGTCTATTTGATCCATTTTATTAAATTATCTGAACTTAAGATGTTTAAATGTTCTCAAAACTCAAAAAAGTTGTCGTCAATGACTGTGATGCCTCATGTTTTTGTAGGTTATGTATTGACAGATATGTTGTGGTTCAGTTCTTAAGTTCCGGTAGGAGAAAATATGAAGGAGTTTTATGGATACCCCTTATAGGATCTCATATAGGATTACAATGACAATGAAAGTTTTAAATTGATAATACCTGCTTCTGAAAGTACAGTCTGATATAAATGCTTTATTTTACCAGTCCTCTTTCAGATCGTAATAATATCACAACTGAAGCAAACTAAGTCATCAAATGTATTGTAGTATTAGTGTGTATTACCTGAGGCGATGCTTTTTTATCAGGTTTGTTGTTTGGTCTGGCACCTCTCTTCTTCAAAGAGTTCTAGAGGGAAAAGATGATAATTTAATTTAAAATGTGTAAAAAAAATGAATAACTCTTGTTATCCTCCCCTCCCTACTGCATATCCACTCTGATATCACACCATCACTTCTATCTCTCTCTTTGTGATATTTTCACTCATAAATCATAATTTGGCAGCAAACCAGCATGGAATTAAACCGATACACATCACAGCATGAGGTATTTCATTGTTTCCATGAGATAAAAAAACTTCTCCACTGCAGGAAATGGAGATAGGAGGAGGAGAGAGAGCTATCAGATACATTGTAAAATGAAAAGTTGGGAGTCCTGGATGCTGATTAGTTAGTACAGGGTTTCAGCTGTGAGAAAGTACACAATATTCACAATATAGCACAGCCTCTTGTACCTTATTGCAAAAATCAAGCAGGATAACTTCTAGTGTAATTTTTCCCTAAATCATGTAAATGCACCCATGTTTGTATTCATAAAAAAAAAATAAAAAAAAACAGGATTGGGTGCCTTATGTGGGCTGACAGAATGGCACAGGTTAATGGCAATGCAGCTTTTAATGGCACTAAACTTCATTAAAATCAATAGATTTGTGCTGAAAGAAAATGAAAGCATTGACTTAACAGTGTATCGACCATTTTTGTGCCACTGTTTATTTTGATTTAATGTGGTTTGCTGAGTCTGTGGGAAAGAAGTCTGAACATAATGAGATTATAGCAACGTCATTTATCCCACTGGCCTTTGTACATAAGGGCCGAACATGTAAAGTCTGTACAGTGTGTATATGTGGCTTGTACGGGAGGGTTGCAAGAAAAAAGTCATTCCTCAAGAAAGGACACATGCAGTCATGACTGAGCTTATTTGGCCTCAACACCAAACAATATGTCTGGCGGAAATCCAATACAGCTTACCATCCAAAGAAAAATGGATGGGGCAAAATACCGTCAAATTCTTGAGGAAAATCTGTTCCCCTTTGTCAGAAAGTTGTCAATGGGAAGAAGGTTTACCTTCCAACATGACAATGACCCAAAGCACACAGCAAAACTGAGCACACAGTGGTTGAAGGAGAAAAAGGTGAATGTCCTTGCATGGCCTAGTCAGAGCCCAGACTTAAACCCCATTGAAAATCTGTGGAATGACTTTGAAGACTGCAGTCCACAAATGCTCACCATCAAATGTAACTGAACTTGAGCAGTTCTGCAAAGAAGAGTGAGCAAATATCGCAAAGTCTAGATGTGGAAAGTTAAGTAGAGACATAACCCAACAGACTAAAGGCTGTAATTAAAGCAAAAGGTGGTTCAACAAAATACTGACACAAGTGGGTGATTCTTTTTCCAACTCAGTGATTCTGTTTTTAAAAAAATAATAATTTCTGACATGTTGGTGTTATATCTTTCACTTGGATGTTATAGGTTACACTGAGTAAATACAGCTAGATAAAACAAAAACGGTGTCCGTCTTCATTTCAGGCTGCAAAGCAACAAAATGTGATTATTTTAAAAGGGGGTGATTCTTTTCTATACCCACTGTACATGCTATGTAATGGGGTTTTCTTCTGTGTATGACTCCTCCAGCACAAACACTCTCACAGTGACTCTAGTGACTCAAGAGTGTTTCCTACTCTGGCGCTCCACACAGTTATGATAAAATTCCATCCACTCGCAAGGCTGATGCAATTCTGCCTTTCTAATGCAATAGAAGTGTGTTTCCCAAACAGAGTCTCTTTCTTTTTGATACTCAAACTTTCAACTATTTCATATATACAAATGTACATAGAGTAAAAAAATCTTTCATGACTCATGTTTCTTCTAACAGTGTAAGATTTACCATCAAAGTTTATCTAGGGAGTGCAAAAACGTTTTTTCCGTCCAGAAGTCATGTGGCAACATGAATGTGGAATATTCCTCGCATTAAGCAACCAACATGAAGATATGGGGAACAAAATCACAATACAAGCAATTTTACTAAAGAGACTGACTCAGCTTGTGGTGACACTTTCACCATTGAACAGATAAATAATTCCTCTGTATAGGAACCTAAAACACAATTTTATGCTTGGTAAGAGATAATAATGGTCTGTAAATTTTCTAAACTCAGTGGCCCTGGCAGGTGTGGCAAAACATTTTTGGACAGGTTATGGACTAACTTCCAGATTAATTTTTTTTTCACATGATGGGAATAACAACAAAACAATAACTTGTTCAAAAACTGATCATTTCTGGTCTAAATGCTGCAACTACAAGTCAAGATGAAAATGAAGAAGCAAGAGATCTTTTCTTTCGCATTGTGACATACATTTGAGTGTAACATATTATTGAAAAATAAAATGTTTGGAGGGGACTTGGCTCGGATTAGATGTTGAAATTGTGGGTGTTGCACTCAAAAGTGGAGGCAGATGAACGTAAGCTTGCAGAGGCGGCTTTAAGAGAATTAAATGTTTTCACCGGAAGGTCCAGTTATGACATTTGGATTATACATCACAAGTTAAAAAAAAAAAAATTTGAAACATAAATGGATGAATTGCTAGCAATAAGATCTATCACATGCTTTTAGAAAAAAGAGTACATTTTCATTTCATGCCAACTTTAATAAGAAACATGATGGTAAACGTTTACTCATGTTCATCTTTGCATAATTTTGTACTGCTAGCACATGTTAAAACTCTCAAGCCAAGTAGTCTGTCATCTGATCACTGAATTGCTACCTGAATTTCAACACCATGAAACCTAATGCAGGTACGGAATTCTGAGAACAAGAACTCACACACAGGTCTATTCAGCCGTGGCCTAATCTTGTGTCTGCTTGATTTATTCTTATGAAACACACTTATCCTCCAAAACAGGATGTAAGGAATAAGATGATGTCATGTTATCACACTTCATTTCCTTTCATGAGAATAGAGGTAACAAAGAGAGAAAGCTGGGAGGAGAGGTGTCTCTTGGTAAAGTTGTAGATAGATTATCTATTATGGGAATGAAAATAATTTCATGACAAAAAGGCAAGAGGAATAAAAATGGCTGAGCAGTGTGTTTAGGTGATGTTAGTAGGGCTGCACGAATAATCAAAATAACACCAATATATATCACAATATGACTCTCCTGTGATTATATTAAATATACTGTATGTAATATATGTGCTCCAGGAAAGTCCGCTAGTTCACGTGCTTTGGTCCGGACCAAATACAATGTTGATTTTTGTTTGGTATGGTTCGCTTTCACACTGCTCTTTTTGCAAGTGAACCAGAAATTGTAAACAAAGTCACACGTGTGCTAAGGTCATCCATTCATTGGACAGAAATTCTCAAGCGTACCAGAGTTCGTTTGGAAGCGGACCGAGACCACTTCTTCAGCTGGGTCTCGGTGTGGTTGTTTGGTCCGCACTCGAGTACGATTGCTGTATTCACACCTGCCCAAACGATCCGCACCAAGGGGGGAAACGAACTTGAGTTTGATTCAATCGAACCAAACAAGACAGGTGTTAATACACCCTAAATAACATAAATATATTTTACTTAATTGTTTAGATTTTTATAATGCAACAAGCAAAACATCTTGTGACTACAATGCATTGAAGCATGCAAAGTATTATACTACTGTGTGAAATGTTTATCATTGCAAATACTAATTAGGCTGGGTCCATCCAGTAGGCTGGATGGAGTGCACACCACTCCAAAAGCTGGATATAACCAGAGAGAGAGGCCGTGGTAAATCCATTTTCGCATTGTATGTTTTTTCTCAATTCCCAGACCGCAGAGACACGAGTCCCCAACCGTTCCAGACTATAATGGGTTCCCATGACAACGGCTTTTGTGAGTTCCACTGTAGAGTTCAATGGAACAAATTGATGAATAAATGGGGGGAGGAAGTTGGGAGAGGGAAAACAGGAAATCACAACCTTTCAAACCCATTTGACATGAGGAGGCCCCTCTCCTCCTGCACGAACAGGCAAAGCAACTGCAGAAAAAGACCACGCTTCACCAGATTTCTCTCTTACTAACTGCACTAAAACACAAGGGTGCTAAAGCCAGATCATTAGCACAGCATTTTTCATAAAGCAACCAAGAGCCTGCAGGTGCTGCGTGTTTCCCACACATATTCCGTCCCTCTGTACATGATTAGGAAATTAGATATTCTGTCGGTTTGATCCACAGCAACAGAATATTTATTAGTTCACAACAGCAGGATGGCAATGATAAACACTATAGCTGTGAAAATGTCTACAGCTCTCCCCAAATACTTTTCCATTCTTCTTTATATCCAAAAGCTGTCCACAGCTTTTCTGTCTACATTAACCTGAGGTAACTCAAGACCAGAATCCACTTTAACCTACTTCTGTCCATCCTTATACCCACATGCTGACATTTGAGTGAGATGGTCACAGGCCATTTTATAGCATGTTATTTTTTACCCTGTTTAATGTTAGCCAAGGTGTATTGGAATAATAATATGAGATTTCTCTCTGTGACCTCTCTGTGATGCTTCAAGTTAAACAGGCTGTTTTGGGTACTGTACCTTTAAGATCTCAACATGTAAATGACCTCTGTTGTGATTGGCTAATCTCTATGTACACCGTTAGAGCATGCAGAACATTAGAGTAAACATACAATGTGCATCAAATGCTATTATTTAAAAAAAAGTAAGGAAAATCCTAGTTTGCAGTAGGTCTGGGTGATAAAACGGTATCGATATTTATCGACGGTACACCTTCTTCGATAACGATATTTAAAAAAAATCGATATAGTGCACGATATAGGCACAAACTATGAGTGACGCAGACAGCTCACACAAACACGAACACAAGCTGAACTGAGTGCTGTGCCTGCCTGTGATGAGGAGATTGTGAATAAAAAAATTAATATTAGTCGAATTTAAAATAAACATTTGCATTTGAATGTTAGGAGTGCATCAGAGAGCGTCATCAGTGCGCACGAGATGCGGTGATGATGATGTAAGTGACGTTGTTGCATTCAGTTTAAACTTTTAGAAAAAAACGTCAAGAATTCGTGGAGGTTT